CTGAAAAATTGGTGCACTGTTTCACCTTCTATGGTAAAGGATCTGCTTTGTGAAAACACCTTATTTAAGGAGTTGGTTCAACCGACCCGACAGAAAAGGTCTGACACCAGTTTCCTACAGAACAATAAGTGCCCTTTAAGACTAAGTACTATGTAGTCTCGAATTGTGGTACCAATAGTCTTCCGATCTGTTCTTTACCCGCTATCGTACTCAACATCAAAACGAGGTTGCGGCACTATTTACCGTTCAAATCTATATTCTGCATGTAATCTAAATACCCTAAAAACTATCAAGCGATCAAGGGTTGGTCTGTGCTTAACATTTGTTGGACTGCATAGCAACAAATCACGTCACATGATTTGTCACGTGACTGCTTTTCATCAAAAATCCGCTTTACAGTCAATTGCTGTATGTTTAAATTCCGGTTGAGACGTTATTTAAGGTTTGATTCGCATTATAATAATTTATAGCAACACCTTTGGTAGTATTCTGTCCCATTTCGTCAAAAAAAATTCATTTCCATAGAAAAACGTTAAAGAAATAGTCGAAATAAGCACATCTCTATAAACTTGTACCCAGGCTCTTTGCTCGGCCGCTCCCTACCTGAAACCCTATAACGTGCCAAATTTGCGAAAATAAAGAAAGTTTTTAAAACATTATAATATATCACTAAACAATATACTGTTGTGTGTCTCGAAATTTTACTGAATTAACATATTTTACCGTAATATCTACTTTTTCCACACAACATTGTCCAGTGTTAATTTTGTCATTCAGTCTCGGAGTCACTGGAGTCACCGTAGACATGGGATTCTTCGTTGAAAGGGTTGCTGCATTTTTCGTCGGCCATGCATAAACAAGCTTCGGTGCATGCAAGGTCATTTCTCTTACAATTCCGTTTGCACTCGGAAGTTGTGCAGCGGCACGTTGTCAACTCCACTATGCCTACTGGGGCGGGGTTCCATGTCATCAACACAGGAACTGGCTTTCCATCTTCCAATTTCCAACCATTTCCTGCTGGCGAGGGTATGCTTTGAAATGGATGTAAAGCTCTGTTCCAAACACATGCCTGGAAATTTGCTCTCTCGATGTGATGAGAAATGCTTTCTGATGTGGGAGGGAGTTCTTCACTCTTCAAACTTCGTTGACAAAACAGTATCGGGCATCATCAGAGTTCAAAAATTCTTGTGCGGACGTGTAAATGGAGCAGATGAAGGATTCAGCGACTTTCTGCTCAAACTCTTCAATGACCGGATTTTTACCAAAATTCCTGAGGTCCTGCTGTATCCGCTCTTTCTTGAGCAGCACATTCGAGGCTTTCTTCTTTCCTATTCCAGACAAGGCACTGGTGGAGACACACACTGTTGGCGCGTGAAACGATAGCAGACACTTGGAAACAAGTCGGCCAAAGGAAAGGTGAATGTTATGGATGGGTATGTATCTCTGTCTGTCCTTTACACCAGTTTTAAACCATAACTCTTGGAGGACAAATCTTCAAAGTGTGCTATTGAAAGCACAGCGACATCAATGTCTGGTGATTGGATCACAATCCTTGGGTGGGTGTTGGCAGCATGTTTGGAATGAAGCAGAAGCCTGGTGTCCGCTTCTTCGTGATCTGAGCGTAGATTATGTTCAACTGCCACTGAGCTTTGAGTTAAAGACACTGTCTTTGATCCGTCCCTAAATCCGCCAGCAAAGACGACCTTTTCCGAGGAGCTTAAACGTTGTGGTAGCTGTTCACTTAAAGTTTCACAAAGAAAATCGGCCGGGTTTTCTTTGTTCTTCGGGTTTGAAATGTATTTCGCTCATTGCTTCGGAATTCGCGTTGATTTACTGTGGATGATTACTTCTAGGGAGCTTGATTCTCCTCTCTTTGTGCGTTCGTCAGCCTTCACTGAAACAGAAGGATATTAATTGGTCGAAAATTAAGTCCACTCTTGTGCACCCGGGTCGGTGTAATGTGGTCAAGACAATCTCTTTGTACTTCTTAGACAGCTCCTTATACGTTGAGCACCCTGCAGACTTGATCATCTGTATAACCTTCACTGAAACAGAGGGATATTGGTCGAAAATTAAGTCCACTCTTGTGCACCCGGGTCGGTGTAATGCAGTCAAGACAATCTCTTCGTACTTCTTAGACAGCTCCTTATACGCTGAACACCCGGCAGACTTGATCATCTGTATAAGAGACATTGCATCAATTAGACAGGCCGAAGGAAACTGTGAAGCAGGTACGCTTGAACTGCAATTGACATATTTTTCTAAAAGAGACATTAAGAGTCCGTCTCTGTAATTTCCGACCACTCGATACTGGTTCAAAAATAAACCTAGCCTTAAACTTTGTGTGTGGATTAAGAAACCCTTGCTTATCATCAATACAAAAGGGGTTTGTTTCAAATTTCAAAAAATTTCGATATTTGGGCAATTTTACGTGTGTACGTCGAAGCACGAAATTAGCATCGCTGCAACACACAAAAATTAGTCATCTTTGTCACGTTCTCGCGCTCTCAAAAATGATTCAATCCGAGATATATTCTGCAGGCCTGCAGTTTATTACACTAGCTCAGCATTTATGAACTCAAACTTTGGATGTCTTAAAACAACTTGGAGATAGTGCCGACTATAAATACGCGGCTAATCGACCGGGTGAAAAAGTAGCATTTCTAAATATATATTTTCTCCATACTGGCACAACTCTACTTATCAAGAGTTATACACGCTTAATAATTACGAATAACAGCACTAGTTTCCGTAAAAACATCCATGGCTATCATCACTGGGACAAAATAAAACAAATTTGAAATGTGAGGATTTTACATACCTGCGCACGCTAGTTACGGCAATTTACATTCATAATTATCCGCTACAAATCGTAAAACAATCGCACATCAAATAGCTCGGAACAGTGGCTAATACTGCAAAATGTGTTGAAGTCAAGTGTCATTGTGTCAAGATGTAATGTGACACTGTAGAAAGTCTCGCTTCATCATCTTTACGTTTATAGCCGTTTTATTACAACTGTAGTTTTATCCATCTTCCAAATTTGAATCCACACAAAAAACAGGATCCTCCAGAGTACATAACAGCATAACTGTATTCAAATGCAGGCTGGCTATATAAACTGTTCAAAGTCCATGATGTCCATCTAATTTGCAACAAATTCAAATATTCAATGCGACGTTTCATAGCATGTTGACATTTGCGTTGTCTGATAAACAAACTTGTCAGTTGCATTGGCTGTGGCATTGGTCAGTTGTCGCCAGTGCTTCCACAACCACGTCTTCAAATGTCCTTTCATGATCAATTTCATAATCTCAAAATTTCTCTGCCACCGAAGACAAAAGAAAGAAAATTCAGGCAAATTTGAGTCAATTTATCACAACACATGTTTTAAAATTAAGTTGTACTGTAAGTACCATCGATGCAGCCCCGGCGCAATGCTTGGCCCCAAGTAGGTCACATCCATTTGCGCTTTTGCATATATTAAACAGCGATAATTACACATTTTAGCGCAAAGAATCGACAGTATTAATCAATATATAAAGCTCTCTGTTTTGACGCAGACGAGTCCACGCATAAACTTCGAAAATATAATTACATTACCTGAAATTTTAGACAAGCTTGCAAAAGGAAGTGGAAGCACTGAGGACAGTTCGTTAATATCCTTTATAGCAATGGCTAGTTCTAGTCAAAGTTCAAACTGTGGTTTCTATAATATTCACGAAAAAGCATGCGGATTTTCCAGTGCATGTTTCAAGTGTAAAACAACGCGTAAAAATGTTTGGGCCGAACGGTTGCTTGCAAATGGTAATAAAGATTCTCACGCGAATAGACAATTTTTTATCCGCGACCGCAACTGTTCACCTCTAGTTGCAAGCGACGGTAAACGAGGCGAAAATTGGCAAGTTTGTTTATCATTAGAAAGAACGCAATGTCAAAATAAAGTTCCCATTCAATTTGTTACAAATGCATCATCTTCATGCAGTTTGTACAGCCTGCATTCGAGTAAAATTATGTCTATGGAGGACGCTGTTTTGTGTTTTTATGACCGCTTTGGAAGTTGGATAGCAGCCATAAACATAGCGCCGCTGTATCGGCATGGAGGTGATGAAGCGATCTTTCTTTCCACAGTCTCGCAACATAAAGAATTCCTTGAAAGTGTTCTCAACACAACGACACTTGACTTCAACACATTTTGCGCTAAGATGTGTAATTATCGCTGTTTAATATATGCAAAAGCGAAAATGGATGTGACCTACTTGGGGCAAAGCATTGCGCCGGGGCTACATCGAGGGTACTTACAGTATGACTTAATTTTAAAACATGTGCTATGATAAATTGACTCAAATTTGCCTGAATTTTCTTTCTTTTGTCTTCGGTGGCGGAGAATTTTTGAGATTATGAAATTGAATGTGAAAGGACATTTGAAGAGGTGGTTGTGGAAGCACTGGCACAAACTTGTTTATCAGATAACGTAAATGTCAAAATACTATGAAACGTCGCATTGAATTTGTTGCAAATTAGATGGACATCATGGACTTTGAACAGTTTATACAGCCAGCCTGCATTTGAATACCGTTATGCTGTTATGTACTCTGGAGGATCCTGTTTTCTTTGTGGATTCAAATTTGGAGGATGGATAGAATTACAGTTGTAATAAAACGGCTATAAACGTGGCGCCGCTGTATCGGCAAGGAGATGATGAAGCGAGACTTTCTACAGTCTCGCATTACATCTTGACACAATGACACTTGACTTCAACACATTTTGCAGTATTAGCCACTGTTCCGAGCTATTTGATGTGCGATTGTTTTACGATTTGTAGCGGATAATTATGAATGTAAACTGCCGTAACTAGCGTGCGCAGGTATGTAAAATCCACACATTTCAAATTTGTTTTATTTTGTCCCAGTGATGATAGCCATGGATGTTTTTACGGAAACTAGTGCTGTTATTCGTAATTATTAAGCGTGTACAACTCTTGATAAGTAGAGTTGTGCCAGTATGGAGAAAATATATATTTAGAAATGCTACTTTTTCACCCGGTCGATTAGCCGCGTATTTATAGTCGGCACTATCTCCAAGTTGTTTTAAGACATCCAAAGTTTGAGTTCATAAATGCTGAGCTAGTGTAATAAACTGCAGGCCTGCAGAGTATACCTCGGATTGAATCATTTTTGAGAGCGCGAGAACGTGACAAAAATGACTAATTTTTGTGTGTTGCAGCGATGCTAATTTCGTGCTTCGACGTACACACGTAAAATTGCCCAAATATCGAAATCTTTTGAAATTTGAAACAAACCCCTTTTGTATTGATGATAAGCAAGGGTTTCTTAATCCACACACAAAGTTTAAGGCTGGGTTTATTTTTGAACCAGTATCGAGTGGTCGGAAATTACAGAGACGGACTCTTAATTCACTGTTTGGACCGGCTTAGAGTTTAGTCGGCGTAATTTGGCTGATACGAAATTCGCTAGGTATATCCCATTATTATATAAACATAAGTGTTATATAGAGTTTTTGGCCACTGAGAAAAATCGTATTTAAACACACGTAAAAAATACGATATTTTTACGTGTGAAAATATCATTTGTTGTAAAACGCATTGCCACGGACGTTTTATTGTTTTTCACTGAATTTTGTTTATATAATAAACAGAAAAATACATGGCTGCTTGGAAATACCGGATTTATTTCTCGTGTTGAACATGATATCTCACTCGTTCGCTGCGCTCACTCGTGAGATATCATGTTCAACACTCGAAATAAATCTGGTATTTCCGCGCACCCATGTATTATTCTCTATTTATCACGCGTGTAAAGTGTAAAGTGTAAAGTGCAAAGTGTCAAAAGTGTAAAGTGTAAACCTGTAGTATTTCAGTCATTTCACTTTCAAAGTATTGTGTTTTTAACGGGGTAATGTTTTATGAAGCCGGGAATACTTTTCTTAGAGTTTCAGCCCGCAACGAATACTTTGTACTCGCAGATCGCAAATACATAAAGAATTTTGCCGCACAGACTGTACGGTTTGTATATGGGCCATAACATTTAGAACCACCACCGTCAATTTGTTAATTATCGGGATATTTTGCGATATTAAAACGATTGTACAATTATTGTGTGCACACTGCATGAAAATGTGTGCGCCATAGTATAAAGTACAGCAGTTTGAGCCGGAATACGGCTCTGCTCAACACTTAAAATTACGATATGACAAAATAAAATGAAGTTTTCGTTAAGGGAGGAAATTGAACTGAATGGCAGTGTTGATGTCGTAAAAAGCGAATCCGGTATCGTGTAACTGGGGCTTCATTTTATAATGCATATTTTGGATTTTCCATTGGCATTGTGCAGAGGAAATAAACATATAACGGTGTAATACGAATGAAAGGTTGTATAATATAATTAAATAAATCTATTTTTTAAGGGCCACAAAACACACTGCTTTCCCTTTTTTATTGCATAGAAAAGTGTCAAAGTCTCAATAATTTACTTAATTGGTATTCCGAGACTGCATGGGTAGAACGCTTTCACAACATTTCACAACATGAGTTTCAACTCAGTCGTAACAGCAAAAAAAAGTCTCGTCCGAGGAACGAAAGTCATTGTCCGTCATAATGTCTATCAGGATCTTTTTCTCGGATAAAAGGTATCTGGCAACACCAAACCGAAGACTAAGACTATTTTTGCTGTATAATAATCCATCTTTCTTTCTGACGTTTGCCGGCATAGAAGGTTTGTCAAAGCATGCATAATCCTAACCCTAACCCTAACCCTTCCACACTCACTGAAATCCCTTCCGGCCTTCGCCATACAAAACGTTTCCAATAAGTCTATAGCTGACTTTGTACTTGTTTTTGTCAATGTACTATCAGCGTTTTAGGTCACCAAAATACGAAAATAATTTATATTCCGTAATTAGCAATATCTATTATCTAGTTAGAATGCGTAATTAGGCTCCTGCCACATCTGTGATAATTGCTATTTTGAGAAGTTGCACTTATGGCCCTTATATTATCATCCGGATCATGTCAACATTTGTCATGACTCCGTTTGCATGATACAATATACTAAAGAATAAAGGTATTAAAGAATAATAATATAGATTACTAATTTAAACCAGTTAGAAATTTTAAAGCAGTTTTGGTCATTGACGTTAGAACATGCATGATTTTCAGGCGGAACTAGGTCATTGAATGATTTATGCAATTATGACAACGCAATGCCAATGACGCAGGTGGAATTCATTCCATATCCGCAACTCCAACAGAGCAAGAAGTGAATATTGTTCTCGTCTAAGACCAAGTCTGTCTTCGTATCGAGCATCGTTTTCAATTGAGCAATATGTCAGTTACTAAAAAAGTCATTTTGTTTTTGGTATTCTTCCTTGTTCTGTGCCAAGACTACTCAGCCTTCCGTCACCATGCCAGTTACAACTGTTGTTGCTGGTTCAAGGCAAGTTAACTATCCTCATGGCTATGTCTACCCAGCAGCTCAACAACCAATGCCTGGTTATGGGCCTCCACCGGCATACTACCAACCACCACAGACACAGCCTCAGAAGTAAGATATTATATAGTTTATCTTTATTCTATATAGGGGGGACAAATAGTTTGTTATACATGCACAAATTTGTCAAAAATGGATAGGCGAATGGGCGACCCCTAAATTTGTAGGGAGTGCAGAGGAACATTTTCCCCAACTGAAATTTAAAATACCGGTTAGCACATATACATTATACGTACAGCCTACAGGTTCAAGTTAACTTCATGTTTTCGAAGGAATATATTAACTAGGAAAAAAGCATTATCGAAATATTGAACACCGTAAATAATTAATGTACCATGAACAACATGAGATTATTTTGGAGAAACGGAGAGCTTCATTGTTCTACAGAGAAACTGCACTTTTCTTCGCTTTCTGCTTCGAAATTCTACGCAGAACCTGCACGTTCCTGCGGAGAAGCTACATAGTTCTACGTTTTAACTACACAGCTTGACGTTGTAACCGAGAAGCTACGCGTTTGTATGAAGAACATTCGGATTTGCACGGAGAAACTGCATTTCACAGGTACAAGTGATAGATTTGCACGGAGAAACTACATTTCCACGTAGAGGCGATAGATTTTCTAATTGGGGGTAGTGCATATATATTCATATATTCTTGTTCTGCCCGACGGATTTCTTTTAAAAGCGATTGTTTTTTACGGCATGTGGACATGAATATATGAATATACCCCCTCCCCCCCCCAATTATCGCGTTTAGTTACGGCCCTGCGGAGAAAATATAGTCCTTACGGGCCACCATAGTCGTAGGCCATACTAGTTGCCTACTGCTTTCCGAAATTTCCGGTAATGCGTTTTCGATTATGTAGCCTATATAATTTACTTTGATATACATGGAAGAAGACGTACTGAAATAGTAGTGAAAGTTACTAGATACATCAACACTAACGCCCGTATTCTAAAAGCTCACTCACACCCACACTCAATGAGTGGAGGTTCAATCTGAGCTTTTCTTGAGTGTCAATGCTGTTTTTGAATAGCTGGAGGGTGAGTAGTCACATAGTAAGATACGACACTAACCCTCAAGCTATTCAAAAACAGCAATGACACTTGAGAGAAGCTCAGATTGAACCTCCACTCATTGAGTGTGAATATGAGTGAGCTTTTAGAATACGGGCGTAAGTTGCTAATATTGATTTAGTATAGATAAATCCAGCGACACAATTTAATCTCAGAACTTCTGCCTATATATAGCCTATGTATTATTGAAAAATGAAAATTTTGTTTATCTCGAGGTTTATCTATACAAAACCACAGTATAGTTAGTCAAGGGGTTTCCTTTGGCCTCGGTTGCTACAGTATAGTGTCCGTGACTCATAAGTTTAAATAGTGTCTCGTTAAGTGTGGGTGTCTCGTTAAATTAAGCATATACGAAGCGAGGAATGCGAGGTTTTCGTAACATCAATCAGTATCAATCCTTTGAACAGCACTTCGTATATCCGCTAATCCGCTTACTTAATCAAATCCTCATTAATTTAATATCATTTTGGTAAATTTACTCGATTCTGATTGATTAAAAACTTTACCAATTTTACGAGCTTGCGTGAAAGCCCAAAGAAGAAAAAGAATAAATCAGTAAAAATTATTCACAGTTTTTATACAGGTATGAATTAAAAATTAATTAATATAATTATAAAATTGATATTTCACAATGGAGCGTAATGCTGTGCTCACTGCTCACAAAACTACATATTTTTAAAATGTTTCTTGCCATTGATTTCTCGTGTAAAATTGACTACAATGATATTAATTGGAAATTTCATATTTTGCCGAACATGCACTAGGCTCAGATTCCAGCCGTTGTGTTCTCGCCACTCGCCCACTTAACGGCTGACCGGGTCAATGGTTAATATTTCTTGTCTGTGACGTCAAGGTTAATATTTAAATTTATGCATATGTTTTGCATAATTATGTATTTCTGTGCAATGTAAAATGGCGGCTGTCAGGAGCGAACAATTTTGTTTCGAACAGGAAATAGCAAATTTTAACAACTTTGTGCATTCATCGATAACTTTTTTGTAAAGGAAAACAAAATGGAAGCTTTTAAGTTCATTTGACAAAATGTTATTAAGTTCTAGTATGTTTTTAACGAAGACAGGAACTGCAATGTACACGAGTCAATGAATATACAGTATTATATATCTAAATAGTAAAACACTAAAACAATAAACCCTACCAACAAAAGCAGGTGAATCTGAATAATTAACGTCTTATTTCAAACAAATAGTTTTTCAATGAATATTCTTTGAAGAGGAACATAAATTTAATGTTAATATTTGAGTTGTTTATAGACTATAGTTATACGTAATGCAATTTTACGCCTTGTGATTAATATCTAAACATTTTCCTTATTGATTTTGTTCGAGGGACAGTGAAGGAACTAAGTCTTTTATACACCAAACAATAGTCTGTCAAGATACGATCATTATGATGGTCTGGAAGCCTGCAAACTTCAAAGCTACAAAATAGAAGACCTACAGTAGTGTTTGATGTTGAACTGTACCTTACTGTGCACCTTCATAGATTTGGTTAAACAGTCTTTTGATGTAGCAAGAATATTTGAAATTTAAAATGTTCTTGGCTTTATTTCGGTGTTGTATAAGTTGTCTGTACAAATGAAGGCGGGGTCTGCTCATCGTCCCATATATGGTTCAGTGTATGACTGTTGACCAAGTCAGTAATCATTTGTAGCTACACACAGCAGTGGGGGGTATTATTGTGGTAATGGTGACAGGATATTGCCTTTCCAAATTAAAAAAAAATGATTTGATGAAATACCCCCCCCCCCACCCTTTTGCCAATGTTAAGGGGGGTGCATCCCCATGGCAGTAAATACATCCAGGGATGGATCCAGCATGATCTGGTAGGGGGGTGCTCTGCCAGCTCTGGTGCCGAGTTGTGTCGGTCATGTGTGCCACCCGCCCATCAACTTGCTTCACTACTGCAAAGTCCTGCTTGACTACTGTATATAAATTGTAATTGTTGTTCACATTTCACTTATCATCATGTTATTACTCAAATTACTTTATGTCATTTTGTTTCTAATAATTTTTTGCTTTATCATGAAAAATAGCACCCCCCCCCCTGGCCAGGGCAAGGGGGGTGCCCCCCCCCCCAGTAAATCCATCCCTGAATACATCTCTGCAGGAATGCAAGAAGAATTTGGCTTCTTTTCCCCCATGAAAACTTAATCCCCCATGCCAGGATAATTTTGGTGTTTAACATTTTGATATTTTCTAACTAAAGTTTACTGCAACAAATTTTCTGAACCCTTGTTTATTAGCTTAAATAAATATTCAATCTTTCAGAACTAGCAATTTATCATGCTTCATCATTCTCAGTCTGGCTTTCATATGAACAGCCGTTAAAAACACACATTGACATGACAACTATCCTTTTCTTAATACCATACTGACAAGGTTTCCAAAACTCAGCCTGAGAGCAAACATATTTGAGCTTGTTGAACAGACTAAATGCATATTTCACTGATGTCTGAATTTATAAAACATTGCATACTTTTATTCCATAAATCCTCTACTTAGGCTATCCAACAAGTCCCATTCTTTGCCCCTTCACAACAAAGAAACACATGATACCAATTGCATGGATTTATTTATTGCCCTTCAAATAACTATGTGCCCACATTTATTCAATTAGTATTCATGGTAAATCATATTGTCAATATATAAAATAATATTGAATTTATTGTGCTTGCCTGTAATTAGGAATTAGCATATATGAGCACACTGATATATCAGTTTCAGTTCACAAATTACCTGCCCAGTCTAAAAAATATTGTCAAATGGCCCAAACTAGCTTGTAGGAGATCTAACCATGCAAGCCTATTATTAGGCTTATCTCTATCCATGAAAGGGCCTGTTTATAAAATCCCAGCTAGGCAGGATGAGGCAGTTTCCAAGATCCTGACTATCATATCAACTCGTGTTCAAAAATGCATGTATATATTTGATGAACTCACTCACAAACTTGTATAAACATGACATCCTAGCTGCCTGGCAAGGTTTCACACCTGACAGGACCATATAAACATGTCTTAATATTAATTAAAATAAGCCTTTGCAAATACTTTGCAAAATAACATTTTCTACTTTCCTGGCAATATGCCAGACCAGCACAATAATAAACACATCCAGGTTTAGGCCACTACAAGTTAATCTTTAGTTTCTGGTCCGGCCTTACCTTCGTTTACGATGCGGGCGGGCGGGTGGTTAGGACTATAGGACATAATTACAATTGTGGCTTTGTGATTGTGGCTTTGCCCTCATTTTTGTGGTCTTTCTTGTCCCTTTTCATGCTAATTGTATCAAAATGTTATGAAATTTTACATAAATTACATTTATATCTTTTATAAATCGACATGTATGACAGATTACAAAGGATTTTACATATCAAAATGATCTACCAATATTTCTAGTTTTATTTACCTCGTAATATCGATAAGGCAGCGGTTTTTACAATTCAATACTACATTTTGCTCGGTCTTTTTAGTGTAAATTGAATATTTATCGTTCTATAAGTTAAATCCTTCGCGAAAATTTTCAAGAACCAGAAATTAATTGTAAACAACAAAATAGTCCTGAAATAATACTTTACGGAGAAAGGACGCGGGCGGCGGACCAGAAACTAAAGATTAACTTGTAGTGGCCTTACTGTAAATATAATTATAAATGTCCAACTGAATCAGCAGAAACAGGGAGGGTTTCAAAGGACTAGGCCACCTAGCTAACTAAGCTAAAAAAAAGAAAGGTTATTAATTTTGCTAAGCCACACGCAAAATATTCTTTGCCCTTTCATGACCAAGAATCCTCAATGAGATATATTATTTATAAACACAATATAAAAATATGCAACGGATTCGAAAACATTCCAGCGACTATTATTCGTAGAGAGACTTCGGTTCGTGTCGTAAAAATCGTCGGAATTACTCTTCCCCCAAAAATGTCGCTTTAACCCATCCATGTAGTTCACGTATAAATATCGTTGGACAGATCTTTTTAAGTGCACATATTTGCAGTGCTGTAGAACTAAATTTACCAGAAGGGGGGCTCTCTTGACGAGCGTGAAGCCGTGAAATCGTAAAAAAATGCGTGACGCCAGGGATCGCGGAGGCATTTTTTGACGGGGGAGGGTTAGCGAACGCCAAAGGTATGCCCTTCTGGAGGGGGGCGCAGAAAATTTTGAAATATGAGACCTCTCAGAGCCCCGGAAATGCAATAAAACATGCTATTTTTTCTTAAAAATGTTTCTTGAACGACTCTTAAGCAAGCCATTATATAGGGGTAAAATTTATTTGCTTAGTACATTTTCCTTGAATAGATTTTTTCTTCGAAATTTAATGCCGTATTTAAGAGTAATTTAAATTGCATTTTCCATACTTACCGTCCCTACCTTTCTCAAAAATGCTTTTCTGGAAAGTGCGAGCCCATTAATACATAACAAGAAAATAATAAATGGAAACAAACCCCAGTCCAGCGTATTAATGAAGACTGAACTAATGTACATAATTATGTGCAAGGAATAACTTAAAGTATTTTAAAAAGTCTATGATAGTCCAAACCGACTAATCCTGCTGAAGTTTATTAAAATCAAAATTAAATATTTTTGTTAAGATTGCAAATGAGATCCTGGTGGGGGGGGGGGGGCTAAATCCCTCCAGGTCCCCCTAATCCGCGGTCCCTGATGACGTCATAGATGTTCAAAAATACAGAGCCTTAATGCATAATTATATGAAACACTGAAGCAAGATAAAGTATCGATTTATTAAGGACGCAATTTTAATAATTTTGATTCTCCTTCATGGAAAAGTAGCCAAGTTTTATTTAATAGTGTTCTTGATAAATTCTCGATTTCCTAAAGTAGAAGGGGGGCTCAGCCCCCCCAGAGCTTGAAGAAGGGGGGCTCCGCCCCCAAGCGACCCCCCACTTCTACAGCACTGCATATTTGCACAACGCCGTCCTCGAACGCTTCAGCAATGCGCTTTTAGCCATATTTAATTTATTACCTTTGTGTTAAATTTATGCATTATTAATACAAATTTATGCCTCCCAAATTTTGGGGGGCTGTAATGTGATTGGTCAATCAGAACAATGCCGAAGCTCATTGACCCAGCCGTTAAGTGGGCGAGTGGCGAGAACACAACGCGTACGGCTGGAATCTGAGCCTAAACATGCACGTGTGCGATTTCTCATTAATACTTCTCGAACTGCGTAATTTCCTATAGTACTATACTAATTTTATTGTTCTCTGTAAATAGTTAATTCCAAATATAATTTCAATATTTGTTTGCTTTATTTGAAGTTCCAAGAGCATCTGTTTTTATAGTGATCTATTCATTAACAGCCATATTTTTGAGATCAGTGAGAAGGTCCACCCATTAATAATAATAATAATATGATAAAGCGCTTTTTACATATAATGATCAAAAGCGCTGTATTACAATATAACTAATGTTAAAAGCGTAATAAAATGTTGAAATGTTAACTTTAATATAAACTAAATACTAAAAGCTAGTTTAAAAAGATGAGTCTTAAGACAAGTTTTAAAAACGCTTATTGACGAAATGTCACGAATTTCGTTCGGAAGTTCATTCCAAAGTTTCGGAGCTGCCACAGTGAAAGATCGGTCGCCAAATGACCGTAAAAATTTACCCTAGGGAACTCTAGCATTATGCTATCATTAGAGCGTAAAAGGTAGTTTCCTTCCACTTTGACAACAAGTAGATCTACCATGTACTTTGGAGCCATTCCATGTAAAGCTTTAAAAGTAAGCAATAGCAGTTTAAAATGGATCCTGAACTTCACAGGTAACCAGTGTAGTTCACGTAATCAGATAGGTGTAATGTGATCGTATTTTCGTGTTGAAGTCACTAATCTTGCAGCGGCGTTTTGAACCCTCTGCAACTTAATCAGTTCAGTATTAGGTAAACCATACAGGAGACCATTACAATAATCTAGTCGACTTGTAACAAAGGCATGTATAACAGTCAACAGATTTTCCCGAGATAAAAACTTGCTGATGCGTTTGATATTGTGAAGCCAATAGAATGCGGCACCACATGTCTTTGTTATATGACATGACATTGATAAATTTGAATCAAGCCAAACTCCTAGATCACGAGCTATTGGTACAGGAAGGACATCAGCATTCCCGACACGTACATGGTGTAGGTTAAGTTTCTGCAGTTGTTGCTTAGATCCAATTATTAGCAGTTCAGTTTTACCGTCATTTAGTTTCAATTTTATGTCTTGAATCCTCCATTTCCGAAGATCGTTGACACAGCTTTCCATTACCGAGATCGCTTCACATTGATCGCATGGGTAGTCAGGTTTGAATGACACATACAACTGAGTGTCATCAGCAAAACCATGTGAATCTGGCGAGTGATTGTTAATAATATCATGATTGCAGGTATTCCCTTTGTTCTCGCAGGGCAATTAATAACTAATACACCTCATTATATTCATTTTTTCTAATCCTACCCGCTTTTACGTCATGTCAGGTAGAATTAGTTCTAATCCTACCCGAAACAACGTCAAAGCGGGTACGATTAGAAAAAATGAATATAAATGAAGATATCTGAAATCGCCAAAACTAAACAAAGACAGGGAAAACAATTATACCATTATATGCCCTGCCAGAACAACGGGATTAAATGACCCTCATCGAGCGGCGCACAAGGGAATTACAACGGGACTAAATGACCCTCATCGAGCGGCGCCCAAGGGAATTATACTAAACGACCCTCATCGGGCGGGACGTTTTAATAGCTAATTCGCTTCTTTTTATGCTATTACTTATAATAATATCGAACAGTTTGGAGGCATATAATATAAAAAGAAGAGGCCCCAAACACGAACCCTGCGGGACACCAAAGTTCAAATCAGATGAATCAGAAAGGGTACCATTTAGCATAACACGTTGACTTCGACCAGACAAATAGGAAGAAAACCAACTGAGAACTTTTCCACGTATTCCAAATTTTGACCTTAACCATTCCAGCAAAATTCCATGATCAATTGTGTCAAGAGCGGAACTTAGGTCCAGAAGAACCAAGAGAGTGACACGTTGACTGTTCATGCTTAACATAACGCAACTTAGGTCCAGAAGAACCAAGAGAGTGACACGTTAACTTGTTCATGTTCAACATTAAACATAGCCACGCGCCCGCGATTATTGAGGAATGAAATTGACTTCGCTAATGACCAAGTTTTCTAACAGAACGATAACGTTAATAAATGTAAAATTTTACTACAATGCTAGAGTCTAGGAACACTGAGTCTGAAAACAGTTCATTTCGCTTCCCTTGAGTGCATCACAATGGATGATTCCAGCTATAAACTAAATTTTGATCTAGGCAAGGAGAACAAAATCCATCACCACAGCTAGAAAGAGCATATTAAAATTAGTAAAATTGCAAAGTTTGGCCGCGAAGTGTTGTAAACTGCGGAAACGAAATTTGCAAATTTTGTATTTTAATTTGTATTACGTACTTTTGTGATCAATAGCGTTCAGATTACGATGCTCTAATGAGTGATGAAATAACTTGGGTCCATTGGCATTGCCATCCATTGCATCCCATTTTTTTTATTTCCTAATTGCAGTCACTTAAAGTCTTAAAATAGTAATTTTTGTAAATAAATGGTTCAAATTTGAACGGTAAACCATCGCTCGAAAGCTATAAGGCTAGTACGCTTGATGAATCAAAACATAATAATCATAATCGTTTTACTGTCGTTCCAATTGAAGTGTTCCTCAAATATTGATTCAATACATTACCTCAGGCTGACCAATTCATTTCATCAAGTTCCTCGAGATATTCATACACTTCCTGTTGAAAGAGCTAATTCCATGTATTTGATCTTTTCTGGTCACTTCCTTTCTATTTATGATTGGTTAGTTGCACAAACAACAAAGGTGATTGGTGCATTCAAACTATTCAACAGGAAGTTTACAATTATACTAGGAAGTGTATGAATATTTCGAGGAACTTGATCAAATGAACTGGTCGTCAGCCCGAGGTAATGTATTGAATCAATATTTGAAGAACACTTCAATTGGAACGACAGTAACTCTTTTATTCTTTCCAACGCCCTACATTGAAATCATATAGGAAAACAATAACTGCTAGAACATAGATGCAATATAAATTTATTAGTGAGTATATTCATATAAATTTACAAATAATATGACGACAATTACATAAGCGAAATTCAAAGACGAAAATTTAGGATATATTTGTAACATATATTATTGAAATTGAAAAGTGAAAAAGTGAGATTATAGTTGTGGGGATAGCCAAGGAAAATATATGAAAACCTCTACACTGACCTCTATGCATGGTTATATATATTTTTTAATATCATCTCACAAAACCAATAAATAGTATAAGAAACGAGTCCTGAAGCACAGCCGACAGATCTTGCTCACTTCATTTTCTTTGCTTTACAGGTAACCTGAAATGAGAAGTTGGCGTGTGACGCAATCGATTTTGTGACTTGAATTGATTTGATATTTCATAAACATTCTTTCCAATATATATAACTTTAATTAATATTTAATTGACAACTCTTACAACACCATATAATATCTTTTAGTATATAACTAGTATACTTATCAGTAGTAAATGCTGACTTGCTCCTTAATTAATTTGACGATATATGAAACACGGCCTCATCCAGTGCTTCCATAACCGCTTGTTCAAAAATCCTTTTACAATCTCCAAAATTCCTTTTTTCCCATAAAATTTCCCTGCCACCCAAACGGTGGAAAAAATCAAGAAAATTCAGGCAATTTGAGGCAAATATATCATGGACCCTGCGAGAAATTGAGTATCATTACATTGCCTGAAATGTTGGGCAAGCTTTCAAGAGTTCCCTCCATGAAAGTATCTGCTCCACATATGTTTATGCTCATTCAGTGGCGTAGGGTGCTTGATAATTTGTGGAGGGATCGGATGGCAGAAGGTGCTAAACGACAAATTTTGAAATTTATAGTCTCTAAATCGCCGGAAATGGCATTTTCAAATCTTCCGTACCTCTTTTGTTAGGCCTATACTATCATTTTTACTGGTTTAAGTGGTTTTAGACTTGTAACTGGTATAAGTTACAGAAATCCTTGCAATTTCCTTTAATTTTTGTATTTTTCCTTGTAAATTTCATTTCTTTGCATGCAAATTCCTTGCAAGGACCAATATTTCCTTGCTGCAAGGAAAAATCCTTTAAAGTGGAAGCACTAGCCTCATCTTTCCATATTAACAACCCCAGTTTAAATACAATCGTAACTAACCCATCGTAACTGTAAGCTCAATTGTTGTGACGTCATTATTGTAAATATTATGAATAAATCCTTGTTTCGGTTACAATTATATTTCTTTTATCTTGATCGTAATCACAACTCATCCCTAACCCTGGCTTTATTAATTGTGCGCGAAACATAGAATCTGAAACTATTTCTTAATCTTACTATCCTGCAATTACTCTAATATCTATGACATCAGAACGACAATACTCAATAGTATGGAAACTTTTCACTGGACCACAATATCAACCAATAATTCTTTTAAGACCACATAGATTATTCATTGCTTTTTATTACACAACAACGATGTATCACTATTAAAGATTTTAATAGTGATACAGTGCAATTTTAAGGCCATTCACAGACATTACTTCAAACTCTAATGAGTCTACTCTACTCTACAGTGAGTGCGGTATGTACTATTTAAAGTGCCTATATCACTTGTGGGACCTTTATTGATTTGAAAAGAGCGTAAAAAATTAACTAATAAGTTCAATAGCTTATTTTGATTTGGTGCAATAGTTTTGAGGGTATAGGCCTTTAAATAACGTACTGTTCCTGAGTCCCAGCCTCCTGGGGTCTAAACACGGCTATTGAATTTGGCCTTTTTCGAAACTGTCCATTGTGCATAGGAGCCTGGGACTCAGGAACCGTAGGTAGTTTAGAGACCTGTATCTTCGAAATTATTGCACTAAATCAAAAAAAGCTTTTGAACTTATTATTAACTAACTTTTTACGCTCTATTTAAATCCATAAGGTCCCACAAGTGATATAGCACTTTAATTAATAAGAAGCTGATATTTAAATCAAAAATTAAAAAATTCCCATGAGTAAAAAAAGTGAGCTTTTATACAAAGATATTTTAATTTCTTAATAAGTCAATATTATTTTATTACGCATCTTTGCGTTCTGCACTTCAGCTTAATAGTACTAGGGCATTAAAATTCTAACAATACTTTATTCCAATAGTTTTGTGGTTTTTTGGGGACACCCTGTATACCGTTGGCGGGCTGATGTTTTACTTCGCTTGACTATAATTCTTCCCCAAATTACCTTTCTTTTGAATTTACTGAAGCGAAGTCGTGAATACCGAACAACATGGAGCAAAACTTGGATCAAATAAATTTGAAAAGCTATACCTTTTTTGATACACACTGTAGTTTTCGAAGTGACGTATCTTTAAAGTGCCTATATATCACTTGTGGGACCTTTATGGATTTGAAAAGAGCGTAAAAAGTTAGTTAATAAGTACAATGGACAGTTTCGAAGGACAATGGACAGCTTCGAGGCTGGGACTCAGTTTAAAGGCCTATACCCTCAAAACTATTGCACCAAATCAAAAAAAGCTTTTGAACTTATTACCTAATTTTTTACGCTCTTTTCAAATCCATAAAGGTCCCACAAGTGATATAGACACTTTAATTCGACGTCCTTATAAATCAAGCATAACGCTGTATTCTATCGAATTCATCTTGAGTGGAAAGCTATAGAATTGCTTCGAACAAGTTAACGAGCCGTAAAACAAAAGACTTTCTACTTATGGGACATGTACGAACAACTCAATGAAATACCCCGTACTGTACAGGGTGTCCCAAAAAACCCGAAAACTATTGAAATCACTTATTGTGAAATTTGAATGCCCTACCAAACAGCTGGACGTAATGATGCGTAAAATATTGACAAGGTGCATGTATTAGAATTTAGTTAGGAATATCTCCTGGTATAAAGTGCGCGATTTTCTGCTCCTGGGAATTAAAAACAGCTTCTTAAACAGTTTCTTTATGCATAAAATTTACTTATGTCAATCATTTATGCACTCGTGGGAACCAACAGAGCGCTAAGGCATTCAAATTTTAACAATTAAATTGTTATTGGTGATTTCAATAGTTTTCGTTTTTTTTGGGACACCCTGTACAAGTATCAATGTAATGAAGTTGATCTGGTTTGATTTCTTTTGTATAAAAAATAAGACATGTTTTCGTCGCGTATATATTGACTCAAATCAGTTCAGAACAATCAAATCACTTATAATTATCGCTAACCTACCTCCTCCGCAGGCCTTTCGATGCGGGCGGGAATAATTTGCGGGCGTGAAATTTGAGATCAGGGAAGAACGGAAGGCGACGAAAGGCCTGCTGAATAATAGTCGGTTCCTGGGCAGAAGTGACGTTTCCTGGGTATCGGTTTTCAATCCTTAAAAATCTTCGTGAAATATGAACCATCCTATCCCAAAACTATTGTCCCGTGTATGGTAGAGTATTTGTGATACTTCAGGGCAGTCATGGCCGAAAGCAGCGACGAACAGAGGGAAAAATCGAGGATTTCGACGATGTTGACGTTCTTAATAATATGTCATTCTGTGAAATGGAAATATGTATGTATTTTACCTGATTAAATATCATGTAGATCATTGACGCGTTTTATAATGCAATTCATAACAAGCAGTCGTAACACTGATATAATGATATCGATCGCTATGAACAGGACACGCTTGAATAACGCCATATGTTGACAATTAATATGTTGTGCTCATCGTTCGACGGCAGCGATGTGGATACTCTCAATATATCGTTTTCTGAAATGGACTTGGTATGTAGATTTTTGTGGTAATGGAGATTCTACATGCAGACATTGTGTTATTTAATAATACTCAAAAGACAAAGAACAAGCGAACAATGAGACGCTATATTACTTCTATTTACATTGTAAATGTATATTTTTAATATGCAAATATAATTTCACCATATTTATCTTTCAAATTGTGCTTTTAATGTTTCATGCAGACTGATATTTGAATCTTATCTAAAGTATTTGGAATGTCTTATCATAGGCTTAGTCGCAAAATATGTAGAAAGCGGATATAATATCGTTGATGTTGTATTTGCATTGGCATAATTTGTATAAACACTTTATATTAGACAGTCTCCATCGTCATAGAAAAGCGGCGGCTAGTTATAAGTACTTTTAGTCTGCCAAGACCACTGGATGCTATTTCTAAATATTATTTAGATCTATTAGATCAGTGCTGGTATGTATATTGTATATTAAGTCATAATAGTAAAGTCAAAATGAAAATTTCGATTTATAGCATACGCCATCTTGAAAACATTACTCGGCAGGCGCTCTCGCCTGCAACCCGCATTTTCCGAACCTGCCCGAAATGCTCCCTAAGCGCCTGCGGAGGAGGTAGATCGCTAACTGATTTGAATTTGAAAGGCTATACTTTTTTTATACACACCGTCAAGCTGAGGACATTGTTTTTAATGCATTCGACACATGCCTAACATAACAAAAGCATGATTAATGATAACAAAATATGGGTTAGGATAAAACGCGGATACGGACGGACGGATGGATGGCGGACGGACGGATGAGTGGCGGACGGACGGACGGACGGATGGCTTCCAAAAAACGTTTTTCAGCCTTTTTTAAGTCATATCCGCGTTTTAACCAAAAGGATAAAACGCGGATATGGTCCAAAAAACGTTTTCCAGCCTTTTTTAAGTCATATCCGCGTTTTATCCAAAAGGATAAAACGCGGATATGGTCCAAAAAACGTTTTTCAGCCCTTTTTTAAGCCATATCCGCGTTTTATCCAAAAGGATAAAACGCGGATATGGTCCAAAAAACTTTTTCAGCCTTTTTTAAGTCATATCCTCGTTTTAACCAAAAGGATAAAACGCGGATATGGTCCAAAAAACGTTTTTCAGCCTTTTTTAAGTCATATCCGCGTTTTATCCAAAAGGATAAAACGCGGATATGGTCCAAAAAACGTTTTTCAGCCTTTTTTTAAGCCATATCCGCGTTTTATCCAAAAGGGTAAAACGCGGATATGGTCCAAAAAACGTTTTTCAGCCTTTTTTAAGCCATATCCGCGTTTTATCCAAAAGGATAAAACGCCCGCGTTTTATCCAAAAGGATAAAACGCGGATATGGTCCAAAAAACGTTTTACAGCCTTTTTTAAGTCATATCCGCGTTTTAACCAAAAGGATAAAACGCGGACATGGTCCAAAAAACGTTTTCCCAGCATTTTTAAGCCATATCCGCGTTTTATCCAAAAGGGTATCCAAAAGGATAAAACGCGGATATGGTTCAAAAAACGTTTTTCAGCCTTTTTTAAGCGATATCCGCGTTTTATCCAAAGAGGGCATATCGATATGTATAAAGAATATTGAAGATTGTCCTAGAATTTGAACAAATAAAAACCAATAATATGACTCTTCGCTTAAATACTTACTGCGAGAGAAGAGTTCTAAAATTACAATTCAGTGTTAATAAAGTTTTAATTCAGTGTCAGTTATCTGGTATGTAGTACTCCAATTTTATGCCAACGTAATGTGCTGCTTTTCAAAGGCTTTGATGTCAATGCAGTTATCGGTTTAAATATACCTAAAATTCCCGTTAAGATATGACAATTGCCGTACGGCCTACTTTTACGCGAACGCAAATTACAACTGCAACTTTCATGCTTAATTTTCTCTGTTATCTAGGCATGTAGTAATGTAATTTTATGCCAGTGCAATGTGCTATTTTTCAACGGCTTTTCAGTGCAGTTATCAGTTTAAATATACCTCAAATTTCCGTTAAGATATGACAATTGCCGTACGGCCTACTTTTACGCGAACGCAAATTACAACTGCAACTTTCATGCTTAATTTCTTCTGTTATCTGGGCATGTTGTAAAGTAATTTCATGGCAATGTAAGGTGCTATTTTGCTAAGGCTTTTCAATGCAGTAATCGGTTTAAATATACCTAAAATTGCTGTTAAGATATGACAATTACCGTACGGCCTACTTTTACGCGAACGCAAATTACAACTGCAACTTTGATGCTTAATTTCTTCTGTTATCTGGGCAGGTAGTAATGTAATTTCATGCCAATGTAAGGTGCCATTTTGCTAGGGCTTTTCAGTACAGTTATCGGTTTAAATATACCTTAAATTGCCGTTAAGATATGACAATTGCCGTACGGCCTACTTTTACGCGAACGTAAATTACAACTGCAACTTTCATGCTTAATTTCTTCTGTTATCTGGGCATGTAGTAATGTAATTTTATACCAATGTGAGGTGCTATTTTGCTAGGGCTTTTCAGTACAGTTATCGGTTTAAATATACCTCGAATTCCCGTTAAGATATGACAATTGCCGTACGGCCTACTTTTACGCGAACGCAAATTACAACTGCAACTTTCATGCTTAATTTTCTCTTTTATCTAGGCATGTAGTAATGTAATTTTATGCCAATGCAATGTGCTATTTTTCAAGGGCTTTTCAGTGCAGTTATCGGTTTAAATATACCTCAAATTTCCGTTAAGATATGACAATTGCCGTACGGCCTACTTTTACGCGCAAACGCAAATTACAACTGCAACTTTCATGCTTAATTTTCTCTGTTATCTGGGCATGTAGTAATGTAATTTTATGCCAATGTAAGGTGCTATTTTTCAAGGGCTTTTCAATGCAGTTATCGATTTAAATATACCTAAAATTCTCGTTAAGATATGACAATTGCCGTATGGGCTACTTTTACGCAAACGCAAATTGTAACTGCGAGATAAGAGTTCTAAAATTACAATTTTGCAATAATCATGGCAGGCGGAAATACGATTCTCTTTAAATTACCGAACAACTGTCTTTACAACAAAGTTGCCCGAGAACGATAGAACATTCGTTGTCAAGAAGCTGGTAGACTCCAGCCATGACTGAGGGGAGACCGAATCGTTAGTCAAACAAGCGAGGCTTCTTTCAAAACTACATCATGTGAACGTAGTTCAATTCAAGGGAATTTGTGTCGACCAGTATGCTTTAATCCTTGAACATGTTCTGAATTTGACTTTGCTCCAATTGGATTTGCTACATAACATGCCCTGAACCGAAGATAAGAACCTGCAAAATACAAGGTCGGTTTCAACCTGGTTTATATTTCGGCGCCAAACGAACGAGAGTTAATTTTCTCTGTTATCCGGCCGTGTTGCCAAAGTGGCATAAAGTACACGACCGGATAACAGAAAATTAAGCATGAACTTTGAAAGTGGCAATTGTAATTCGCGTTTGCGTAAACGTAGGCGGTAGGCCGTACGGCAATTGTCATATCTTAACGGGAATTTGAGGTATATTTAAACCGATAACTGCATTGAAAATCCCTAGCAAAATAGCACCTTACATTGGCATAAAATTACATTACTACATGCCCAGATAACAGAGAAAATTAAGCATGAAAGTTGCAGTTGTAATTTGCGTTCGCGTAAAAGTAGGCCGTAAGGCAATTGTCATATCTTAACGGGAATTTGAGGTATATTTAAACCGACAACAGCATTGAAAAGCCCTAGCAAAATAGCACCTTACATTGGCATAAAATTACATTACTACATGCCCAGATAACAAAAGAAATTGAGCATGAATGTTGCAGTTGTCAATTTGCGTTTGCGTGAAAGTAGGCCGTACGGCAATTGTCATATCTTAACGGGAATTCGAGGTATATTTAAACCGATAACTGCATTGAAAAGCCCTAGCAAAATAGCACCTTACATTGCCATGAAATTACATTACAACATGCCCAGATAACAGAAAAAATAGGTACGCACTGCGTACATGTTGCATGCCATCTGGAACTTATGATCATAGATATCTTATATAAGATATCTATGCTTATGATGCGCTATAGCGCTTATACCCTTTTTGGTACAACTGGCGTGAAACTTAAAATATCAATTCAATAAATTTAATATCAATATATTTATTGCAAAATAGCTATTATGTCAAAATAAGAAAACTTAAGACTCTCACGCGAATTTGCCTACAGTGTAGACCCCAGGAGAAACACGCGAATATAGACAATGGTTTTTAAGCGACCGTTAATAGTTAGTTGCAAGCGACGGTAATAATAACATTAAAGGGAGTAGGGACTCTACAGTAATTTTTTAGTCGAAAAGCCACCTTAAGTAGGGGACTCCACGGAGATTCGTTTGGCTGTATCTTACATGCAGTATCCATGAATATGAGTACTTCCGCACACCGGAAGACGCATGCATGCCGTGATGCGCATGTCAAGTAGCGACAATAACAAAAATGTAAACAATACTTACTTGACTAAAAAATTACTGTAATATCAAGGCGGGTCAAGGTTTTATCAAAAGCGATTAACTGTTAGATTTACTTTACAAATTAATAACTAAATAACGTTATTTCCTATAGCTATGGCTTTATTGTAACTTTTTAATGGGTATAAAAAACGCGTGGAAACGGTGAATTAGTACAATAGATTGAAAATGATTATTATTTATCATTTTGACGTTTGAGTGATTGAAATGAGTTAATTTACAATATATCGAATGTCATGTTGAATCTTATGCGTACTTCACAATGGTTGCTATTTCGTTGTATATTTCGATTTCAATTGTATTACTATTTATAATTTAAAATTGTGTTTGATATTTATATTTCATGTTGTTTACAAAATGTGCTGTAGTTTTGAAGCTTTGCACACAATATAATCAGTGCGAGCACAATGGCTCCGTTTCAGTTTGAGTATATTAAATATAAACTTCGAGTATTTTGATAGCGTTCGCGGCTTTGAGGCTTTCAATTGTATTACTATTTATAATTTAAATTGTGTTTGATATTTATATTTCATGTTGTTTACAAAATATGCTGCTGTTTTGAAGCTTTGCACACAATATAATCAGTGCGAGCACAATGGCTCCGTTTCAGTTTGAGTATATAAAAATCGAGTATTTTGAT